CGTCTCGGTACTCACGGTACCCGAGATCTTAGAAGAGTACGTAATCTATAGTGACGTCGTTAAAGAATGGACTAGGATGTGTGTTAATGCAACACGGTAAAGTTGTTGCATACGCGTCCCGTCAACTAAAAGAATACGAAGATAATTACCCTACCCACGACCTGGAGTTGGCCGCTGTAGTGTTCACGCTGAAATTTGGTGACACTCTCTGTATGGAGAGAAAATTCAAAGTTTAACCGACCACAAGATTTTAAATATTTCTTCACCCAGAAAGAGTCAAATATGAGACAGAGAAGGTGGTTAGAATTGGTGAAGGACTACGATGTAGATATCCAGTACCACCCTAGAAAAGCAAACGTGGTCGCAGACGCTTTGAGTAGAAAGGTGGCCCACTCTTTGACCCTCATTACAAGGGAAGTAAGGGTACAAAGAAAATTCGAGGGAGCCAACATAGTGTAGCGACTGAGAGAGTCATGGCACAGCTGGCCGACTTACAGTGCAACCTACACTTAGGCAAAGAATGGTTACCTCCCAATGAGAGGATCCAAGCCTATAGAAAGTCCTAGGCAAGCTAGACAAAAGTCCTAGGCCAGCTAGACAAAAGTCTAGTAGACAGGTTCTCGAAGTTCTCAGATAAGGACTATTGTATTAGGGATGCCTATGTGTCCCAGAGAAGTTAAGGAAGGAGATACTAACGGAAGCTCACAACTCGCCATTTGCCATGCACCCAGGAGGTACAAAAATGTACCAAGATTTTAAACAACATTTCTGATAGAAGAGCATGAAGAGGGACATGGCCGAGTTTGTGAGCGAGTGCTTAGTTTGTCAACAAGTGAAAGTTCCTAAACAAAAGGCAGTGGGGTTGTTGTAGCCCCTAAGCATACCAGAGTGGAAGTGGAAAAACATAGCAATGGATTTCATAGTAGGATTACCCAAAACGCACAAGCATATACAGTGATCTGGGTAGTTGTCGATAGGTTGACCAAATCGGCACACTTCCTACCTGGGAAAGCTACATATGCAGTTGACAAATGGGCACAACTGTATGTGAAAGAAATAGTAAGACTACGTGGAGTCCTAGTGTCTATAGTGTCGGATCGGGATTCACGCTTTACGGTAGCGTTTTGGCGCAGACTTCAAAAAGCGCTGGGTACCCGCCTCAACTTTATTACCGCTTTCCACCCCGAGCGTTTAAACCAAATTCTAGAGGACATGTTACGCGCTTGCGTACTAGATTTTAAAGGAAGTGGGATTCCAAACTCCACCTCATGGAATTCTCGTATCATAATAGTTTCCAAGCAACTATTGAAATGACACCGTTTGAGGCCCGATACGAAAAACGGTGTAGGTCCCCACTATGCTGGGACGAAGTAGGCGAGAGAGAGTTAGTAGGACCCGATCTGGTTCGACTCGCCAATGAGGCTGTCTAGAAAATTCGAGCAAGGGTGCGTATCGCTCAAAGTAGACAGAGAAAGCTACGCCGATGTAAGGCGTAGAAGCCTGGAGTTTGAGATAAGGGACCCAATATCCCTCAAGGTGGCACCGATGAAAGGTGTCTTGAGATTCGAACGTAAGGGCAAGTTAAGTCCTAAATTCATTGAACCATTCGAGATCCTAGAGTGAGTTGGTTCATTAGCGTATAAGTTAGCCCTACCTCTAGCCCACTCAGAAGTACACGAGGCATTTCATGTGTTGATGCTGAGGAAGTACGTTACGGACCCTATCCATGTATTAGACTACAACCACTCCAACTCAATGAAGATTTGAGCTACAAGGAAAAACTAGTAAAAATTTTAGCTAGAGAAGTAAAAACCTTACGCAACAGGAATATTGCGTTCGTTAAGGTACTGTGGCAGAATCACCACAGCGAGGAAGCCACGTGGGAGCATGAGGACGAAATAATAGAAAAATATCCTGAGCTAGTACAAGAGTTTGAGACTTTCGAGGACGAAAGTTCTTTTTAGGGGTAGATAATGTAACGACCCGAAAAAAAAAGAGATAATAATAATAAGTAAATAATAATTATAAAAAAATAAAATAAAATAAAATAAAAGTAAATTATCGACTCTCTCTCTCCACCCTCCCCAAATATCTCCCCAATCCCTCCAACCGCAAAGGATCTGAAAAAAAAACAAGAAAGGAAACAGAAACAAAAAAATCGCAGATTTTGGGAAGGGAGAAATGGGAGAAAGAAACATAGGAAAGATCACAGATTGATTTTGGGAGAGAAGAATTGAAGATGGCCTTCACTTCAGGCAGATCTAATAGGAATGGAAAGAGATAGAAAAGTCATCGGTAAGTTAGATCTCATTTTCTTTTATTTTTGCACGAGATAGAAAAGTTATCTTAGATCTCTCTTTCAATTATTTAGATTTTTGGATATGGGATCGAAAATCAAAATTGGCTGTGTCAATTGCATCTAAATTGAATCATCATTATTATTTTGAGGAAAGAGAAGAAAATCATAATGGATGGATGCATAGCCATTTTTCCTCAAGGAAAAATTTAAATAGATTGGAAAGGGTTAATGACAATAGTTTTAGGAAAGAAAAGAAAAAAATTCAAAATCATTTATCGAATTAATTAGAATCAGATTTCCACCTAGATTACCTAGTTATTTAAATGTTAATTAGCAGTTAGAAATCATGTCAGATCTTTGAATGAGATCATAGATCGTCTCCTTTGTACATTATTGAGAATCAGATCAACCATTCATTTACTAAACTGTTAGAATTAAATAGGAAAAAAAAAGAATTAAACAGAGAAGAAAAGAATTAAACAAGAGGTTTGGAAAAGAATTAAACCGAGAGAGGTTTGAAAAGAATTAAACAGAGAGAGAGGTAAAGAAAAAAAAAAATATACATATATATATATATATAATTAAGTACAGAAAAGAAGAAAAGAAAGAGGTAAAGGAAAGAAAATTATATATTTAACTAATTAAGTACAGGAAAGAAAAGAGAGAGGCAGTGGGGAGGAAAATGGAAGATTTGGTGAACAGAAACAATTTTACAGAATAAATACATCGAGTAAAAAAAAAAAGATACCAAGATATATATATATATATATTCAATACTCATAAAGTCTTTAATGCTGGCATGAAGTTTAGCACATGAACCCTTGTAGGAGTTAGAGAATTAAACATGAAATTGATGTTATGGATTCTTATAGGTTGGCTTGGATACAAAGGGAAAAATCAAACTTTCATTAAGGATAAATTGGTCACACCCGTATAAGCTAATCAGGTAAGTGGCCTTACTATAGGATAGGCTAAAAATTGTATGAGTTACGATGTTGTATGAACTATGTCGTATGATGCGGTATATGAGTTATGATGATGTATGACTTATGATGATGTGTGGGTTATGATACCTGATGATGTGCTCAGTATTTATATATTTTGATGAATGTCGTACTTGATATGTTTGATGCACTTTGTGGCAATATGATGAGTATGATGATTGCATGACGTTTACCTTAATATGATGATGTTTTCCATATTGAGCATGCTATATGATGATGAGTGCCATATTGCATCATGTCATTAGATCGACATATGACACAACCCTAAGAGCGTGAAAATGATATTAATATAAATATCCACGAGTATGTGTTACCTAGAGTAACAAAGAGATGAGACTAGGGGTTGTGTCAGAAGAGACATTATGATGGATTTAGAGGGACCTCATGCATATTGTATGTTCATAAGCATAGGGCTACTTCCCCTAGAGATGATGAGTGCGGACGCGCACCTTATGATGAGCGCGAAAGCGCACAGGTGCGAAAGCACACAGATGAGGGTGTTCATGAGGCGCATGACACTATGGGGTTCCGCTGACCTCCGGACGTCGCTACATATTAGCTTGACCAGAGGGTCCAGGGGGTGTGCGAGCGCCCTGGGGATTCACACTCGCACGTGTGAGTCGTGTGTAGGGAAGTACTACACATCCAATTTTCCGAGACTGGAGGCCACCCCTAAGATGATTAGAGATAGGTCCCTAAATCATGATTGCATGTGTTTGCATTTGCATGGCCCCCTATAGTGGGGCCACTTACTGAGTATTCTTTGAAATACTCAGGCCGTGTGCCACTTCATTTTTCAGGTAAAGGCAAGGTGCACTTGTACGGAGGACGGCGGCATCGCGAGTAGAGACTGTGGCACATGCATAGGGTAGACTCATATTTAAATTTCTAGTCTTAAGTTAGAATAGGTTGTTTTGCATTCCATTGTTTTAAATTATTTTGTATTTGTTTTTGTTTTCTCTCAATTTCAGTATTTCATATTTAAACACGTAAGACCATGGCTGTGTTTTTCAGAGAAGAAGTTGTTTTAAACGTTTTTTTTTTTTAAATTTACGTTATCAATTATGTTCATGTAAGAGTTATTTCCGCATTATAGGTGAGCATGAGACGTTAGTAGCGACTCTGAGTATGTGGAAATTTAGGGTCGTTACACAATCACTCAACAAGCTTGAAAAATAATCTAGAAATGAACTCATCAAAACTCTAAGTGACAAATGCCTTAAACAATCACCAATTAGACAAGCTTATTCTCTAGTCCAAAAGATATATGCTAAATTTCAAGGCTACCTACATGTGGTTGGGGCGGGGGAAAAGCAAAGCTCACCGTTAGCAGATATTGTCCGTTTTGGCCCGCTACATATCGCTATTAGTCTCACGATTTTAAAACGTATATGTTAAGGAAAGGTTTCCACACCCTTATAAGGAATGTTTCGTTCCCCTCTCCAACCAATATGGGATCTCACATTCCACCCCCCATTGGTAGCCCAGCGTCCTCACCAGCACACTACCCAATGTCTAGCTCTAATACCATTTGTAACAGCCCAAGCTCACCGCTAGCGAATATTATCCATTTTGGCCCGTTACGTATCGCCATCAGCTTCACGATTTTAAAACACGTCTAATAGAGAGAGATTTCCACACCCTTATAAAGAATATTTCATTCCCTTCCCCAACCGACGTGGGATCTCACAGAAAGATTACGAAACTAGCATACATGCAAAATTTTGTTAATGTTCTACAGATCAAAATTAAGCTACATAAGCCAATCACCACATGCAGGTCTCAGATGCACATAATTTCAGGATGTAAAAGCCAAGCTACCTATCTCAGTACGTAACAAATCCATGAACGGTTCAGCATAGACTCGTATAAAGATAGAGAATGGGAGAGACCTTTATTTTCCTTTCCATTATTAAGTCGAATCTACTTACATTTTTTCATCATATTCAGCCTCGATGCATCGACGCAGCTGCATTATGCCTGCCCAGTTGTCCAAGTCCAAAGTGGTCGGGCTGTCGTACTTGATCGTTTATATTTGCCGATATCAAGTAATTATGAACAGGTAGCAGCCAAATGTCGAGGCCGAGATAATCTGCCTAATGAAGCCTAATGAATGTGGTTTCTTCAGTAATAATCTGTGCATAAAACATAGTGATTTAAATGTTATCAGCCTTGATCATTGAATAGGCAAAATGGAAAAACTACGGTGCAAATTTGACTCACAGGCAACTTAATTAGGTCATTTTTGGTGGTGGGGTTCACACGGCTGCCCATTAGCACAGGAAGCTTGTTCATTAGCCTGCAGTTAGAATAGCATTCATGGGTATCAAATATTTCTCAGTCTCGATTCTAATAAAGAATGTTGCTACTTCTGCTATTATCGACCAATGTTGTTTAAAACTCCCCGAACAATATAGTTAAAAGAAATAGCAATACGATAATTCAAAAGGGCAGATATTGTCCTCTTTGGGTTTTCCCTTTCGGGATTCCCTTCAAAGTTTTTAAAACGCGTCTTCTAGGGAGAGGTTTCCACACCCTTATAAGGAATGTTTCGTTCTCCTCCCCAACTGATGTGAGATCTCACAATCCACCTCTCTTTGGGGCCCAGTGAGGAGGCTGGCACTTGTTCCCTTCTCTAATCGATGTGGGACCCTCCAATCTATCCCCCTTCGGGACTCAGCCTCCTTCCTGATACGTCGTCGGTGTTCGGCTCTAATACCATTTGTAACAGCCCAAGCTCACCGCCAGTAGATATTGTCCTCTTTGAGCTTTCCCTTTCGGGCTTCCCCTCAGGTTTTTAAAACGCGTCTTTTAGGGAGAGGTTTCCACACTCTTATAAAAAATGTTTCGTTCTTCTTCCCAACTGATGTGAGATCGCATAATCCACCCACCTTTGAGGCCCAGAGGAGGCTGACACTAGTTCCCTTCTCCAATCGATGTAGAACCCTTCAATCAACTCCCCTTTGGGACTCAGCCTCCTTGCTGACACATCGCCCGGTGTTCTGCTCTAATACTATTTGTAACAGCTCAAGCTCACCGCTAGTAGATATTGTCCTCTTTGAGCTTTCCCTTTCGGGCTTCCCCTCAAGGTTTTTAAAACGCATATTCTAGGGAGAGGTTTCCACGCCCTTATAAAGAATGCTTTGTTCTCCTCCCCAACTGATGTGAGATCTCACAATCCACCCCCCTTTGGGGCTCAGCGAGGAGGCTGGCACTTGTTCTCTTCTCCAATCGACGTGGGACCCTCCAATCTACCCCCCTTTGGGACTCAGCCTCCTTGCTGACACATCGCCCGGTGTTTGACTCTAATACCATTTGTAACAGCCCAAGCTCACAGCTAGCATATATTGTCCTCTTTTGAGCTTTCCCTTTCGAGCTTTCCCTCAAGGTTTTTAAAACGCGTATTCTAGGGAGAGGTTTCCACACCCTTATAAAGAATGCTTTGTTCTCCTCTCCAACTGATATGAGACCTCACAATCCACCCCCTTTGGGGCTCAGCGAGGAGGCTGGCACTTGTTCTCTTCTCCAATCGATGTGGGACCCTCCAATCTACCCCCCTTTGGGACTCAGCCTCCTTGCTGACACATCGCCCGGTGTTCGGCTCTAATACCATTTGTAACAGCCCAAGCTCACCACTAGCAGATATTGTCCTCTTTGAACTTTCCCTTTCAGGCTTCTCCTCAAGGTTTTTAAAACACATCTTCTAGGGAGAGGTTTCCATACCCTTATAAAAAATGTTTTGTTCTCCTCCCCAACTGATGTGGGATCTCACAATCCACCCCCCCTTCGGGGCCCAGCGTCTTTGTTTGCACACCGCTCGTGCCCCCCCCCCTCGAGACTCAACCTCCTCGCTGACACATCGCCCGATGTTCTGGCTCTAATACCATTTGTAACAACCCAAGCTCACCGCTAACAAATATTGTCTTCTTTGAGCTTTCACATTCGAGCTCAAGCCCACCGCTAGTAGTTCTAGTTTGACCGTTAAAGGAGTTGTGGGGGGATTGACCATTCGAGCAAGTGAAAAAAACACGAATCGCACTGAGCTCGGGTTTTCTACAAATTAAGACGTGATTCTTGGCAAATGGTTTTAATCTTTTGATCCTGAATGTGGTTTAGGTAAATTGTGGGACCAAATTGAATCCTAAATCTTCATGGAAGTCAAAACAAAACCAAGAATTGTTTATATGATAACAACTCTAGCCTACCCTTAAACATAACATAAAAACTTCAAAATATATATCTTCAAACCTGTCTAGGAGTTGGAGTTGTTAAAGGATCAGTGCCACCATTTGGCACCATAGGTGAATCACTCTTCGGAGACGCATCTTTCAAGCTACAAGCTGCAGCTGAACCAAAATTCTCGACAGGAGCTACTGCCACACCGGGATTGGTCATAAAAGGCCCTCCGGTAAATGGTGCAATCGGTCCACGTGGCATGGGGATGGGAAGTCCTTGACCAGGAAGTCCAAGCACCTGAAAGTTAGAACCTGGCATTCCATGCATTACAGTTTGAGCTGGAATGGACGGGCCAGGAAAATGCGTTCCTTGCACGTGTGGCACTTGAACCATGGGATAACCAGGAGGGCCAACATTCACGTCAGGCATACCGATCCCGAATCCCATTCCCATTCCTACACCCATGGGTGAATACATATGAGGTGCATTCATGAATGGCATTCCTCCAGGGGACATCATGGGAGGCATGAACAAACCAGCTCCCATCGACATAATCTACAAAATCAGCGAAACACTTGAACGGGTTACTTGAATGTTCTAAACAACAACAACTTCCGGGTTTTGGGGAGTGGAGGGGACAAAAGAAATACATTTTTCTGCCTCAGGGAACAGAGCATCACCTGAACCTGAAGTTGAAGCGTTTTCAAGTACTCAATGGCTTCATCGAGCATGGAAGCTTTGTCGACCTAGTAATTCCATGAAGATTAAAAGAATAAATATCGAGTAACAAAGAACAAATCAAGAGATATCGATAGGCCAACCTTATTACAATTTGGTATGAGTTCTTGCAGTGCACGCATCTTCTCATTGATCCTGTCTCTACGTCGCTGTTGCAGAAATTTAAGAACGAGTCCATGTAAGAACCAAAAAAAAAAAACGGCTAAATTTTGCATATGAAGCAAAAAATGAGTTCTCGTAACTACAAGACTCACTCTTTCAGATAAATTATGCACTTCTGCTGCCCTGCTTCTTTTCGAACCAGTTCCTCGAGTGGGAGTCACTCGCTTCACATCATTGCATTCTTCTTCTACATCCTGCATTTGAAAATACTTTTAGTTTACATTTGGAAAACGATCGAGGTACACAAGGCAAGACGAGGATTCAATTTTGTACTCACATCACTATGCCATTCAGAATCCTCAGTCTCGTGGCATTTTCTCTTCCTATTAAGCTTTGGATCATCGGAAGCTCCTTCCACGCTATTGCGTGAACAAACAGAAGCAGCAAATATAGATTCAACAGCCTTCTCGCTATCTGGCAATACTTTTGGTGCACCTACTTCAAGACAACGATCGGTTCGGTCTTCATTGTTAGCTGAATCTCCCAAACAAGCAAGCTTGGGATGTTTGACAGCCTGCAATTGCTCAGGAGCCTTGGCATCTGATGGTTTGTTATCATCTATGGAAGGCACTATCGCATTTTTACAGCACGCCTTTGATTCATTTCTTATACATGACGATTGATCGCGTTGACTATTAGCTGCTGAACCCACGGTTCCAACGACACCATGGTTCTGAGGATTGGATTTGAGAAGAGCAGCCGGTCTCAGAAAATGGGAAAAATTTATAACATTGGGTGAATTACTTGAAGGAGTTGGATCTAGCTTTTGCCTAGCTGTGCTTGAAGAACTGCTTGCAATCAATGGAACATGAGGAGTTTGGCCTATAAGAGAATCATGGAGAATCTTGCCCGGCACGTTTTCAGTGCTGCCTGTACATTTTACTCTAAGATGTGGAAATAATGCCTGGCTTTGCTGGGATGCTAACGAACGTAATTCGTTCGTGCTACTTCTAGGTCCAGTAGTTGAAACATCTAATGTAGAAAGCTTCGAAATATTGCCATCTTCAAGATTAGTACCGTGCAAAGAATTTAGGCGCGTATATCTGTTTACCTGATGAACACCACTAGTTTTGCCTATAGAAGACGCAACGCTATGGCGTGCAGGGTGGTCGTTAATGGTGACCCCTGATAATTCAGGTAAGAAATCCGAAGAATAATCGTGTTGCAGATGTCCATCAAGAGGATAACTCAGCCAAGGCACGATATCGTTATCATCATCATCATCATCACGAGCCAATTCGACCTCAGGCGATGACCCCGTCGCTATAACATCTCTTACTACCGAATCAATAGCCCCAAACTTTCCCATCTTTGCATTATTGAAATGTCCTGGTAAACACAGAGGCTGTGAAGTGTTCATATTTGAGTTCTTCCTAGTCCTACTGGACTGACCTTGCTGCAAAATTTGGCCATTCTCCCAAACCAGCTCGAAAACGTCGTTCTCGGGACTGCATTCGAAATCCACAAGAATCAAGAAGCTAAAATTTAGAGCAAATGTACAGAAACAAAACCATGGAAGCAAAATTAAAAGACTTACCTCAGAGATAAATCTGAAGCAACCATGTCGTTCCTGTCTTGAGCTGAATCAAGCTTCTCTCTAGCCACACGACAAAGCTCAGATAGAGGCATAATGGTCGGAATAAGTAACGTTTAAACTCCAGAAACCAAATCCAAATGAATATAATAAGACGAACCCAGATGAATTTAAAAGGGGAACAATCAGCTTTACAAGATCAAAGTGGCTTAGAATAAAAAACAATGTCCCTATCAGTGACCCAAATCCAGAATAAGCTCGTAGAAGGCAAATCTAACAGAACCCAGATGAAATATTTGTTTAATTGGCAGATTCTGATGAGCAAGCAAGAGGAAATTAGTTGAAGAAGACAAACAAACAGTCCGACAAAGACATCAAGCAAAAAACACAACCAAACCAGAAGGGAAACCTGAGGAAATTCGGCGGCTAAACGAACGGGAAAGAAACAAAAACGAGAGAGAAAAGCGAGATCCTCGAAGCAGTCGAAGAACACGAATCCACATGCATTGAAAATACGAATTGGGGTTTAAATCGAACAACCCAGAAAGGCGTAATTTAGGCAAACAAATGAAAATAAAAGGGGAAAAGGGCAGCAGAGCTATAATAGCGAAAAAAATGGAAGACGAAATGGGTCCACCATGAAACATCTGGTTGAGATGAACTGGATCACCACCACCAACGCCGCCGTCATCGCCGCCGTTATCCTGCCGTTGAATGGCTCTGTTCATCAATCATTGGTGGCAAACATACATTGACAGAAAATGGGTTGATTTTTCGAGGGTTTTAAGAAGAAGGGTTTTGTTGTTCTTCTTGTTCTTGCAGTTTGCTCCCTCAGATTGAGGCAAAATCGAATAGATTGAATGAAATAGAGGGTTTGAACATCAGTGTCTGCAAATTAAAGCTGCCCCTCATTCCAAATTCTTATCTGGGTGGCATCTTTCTATTTTGTTCTGTTTGTAGTTTGTTTGTATCTGTTCCTTCTTTGATCTTGGCTGCAATGCGAAGCAATGCATGTGTCGGCTGCCATCCTTTTCGGATAATATAGATACACATTCATAAGTTAAGTACCATGCACCATTTTCAGCTCTAATCCAAATAATAACAGAGTTCTTCGTTATCAAATGTGATAAAAGCCATATTCTTTTAACCTATCCCACATTGATTGAGGAAGAAAACGAAATATTCTTGATAAGGATATGAAAACCTCTCTCTAACAGTATTTTAAAAATTTCAAAGGGAAACTCCTCAGTGAAGTGAAAGCTCAAATATGACAATATCTGCTAGTGGTAGACTTGGGGCGTTACAAATGGTTACAGAGCTAGATACTGGGTGATGTACCAGTGAGGAGGTTGAGCCCCAAAGGGGGTGGACACGAGACAGTGTGTCAACAAGGAAGTTGGGCCTCGAAGGGGGATGGATTGAGAGGTCTCACATCGATTGGAGAAGGGAACAAGTGTCAGCGAGGACGCTCGGCCCTAAAGAGGGGTGGATTGTGATATCTCACATTAGTTGGGGAAAACAACGAAGCATTCTATAAGGACGTAGAAACCTCTTCCTAGCAGACACGTTTTTAATTTCAACATAGTTCAGATAGTTAAGACATATTTGTTCGACTAAATTCTCGTCTCTACAATTTTAGCTAAAAAACAAACGTAAAAGTTTAGAAACGAAAACGACCATCGTTTTTTAAGTTTTAGTGGTAAGACAAATTTTTAAAAAGTTCGGACCTTAGAATATTGGAATATAACGAACTTGAAAGTTGGACGACGCAAAAAAAACGTAAACCCTAAAATATTTGTTTGGTTGTGGTGACAAAGATGGAGGGATTTGTCCATTTTTTTTAGGGTTTTTTTTTTATTTTATACAAAGGACACAAGTGGGAAATGGTATGGGGTGATGAAGTTCACGTGGGAAGGTTTTGCTTTTGAGACACTGCGGGCCTCTCTCTTCCTTTGGCCTTATTGCTCCTCGTCTTCTTTCTTCGCACGTTACGAAGTCGTCACCTTCACGGTTCGCTAATAACTCGGTCTCACGGCTAATCGCGTCTACTAGAGAGAAGTTTTCACACCCTTATAAGAAATATGTTGTTCCTATCTCCAACCGATGTGGATCTCACAATCCCTCCTTGAGTGCCAGTATCCTCGCTAGCACACCGCTCAGTGTCTAGTGGATATTGTCTATTTTAGCATGTTACGTATCACTGTCAGCTTCACGGGTTTAAAACGCATCTACTAGAAAGAGGTTTTCACACCTTTATAAAGAATGTTTCACTCTCCTCTCTAACTGACGTGACATCTCACACTTCATTCTTTAATTTAGGGTTTGAACCTTCGACTTTTTCGAAAAGTACTTTTATGTTCCAATGGTAACGTGTTTACTCTGAAAGTATGGATGAGACATATGTAAAGACTCAAGTGCATAACAAAAAGAATTTGAGCGACTTTGGCTTGACTCAGTATTTGGGTTAGGTTGAAATTTGATTTCGTTATGGCGTGCACCAAATTGAATTGACCATGCTCACGATAACAATAGTTTTATAAATTAATTATTAGATTCACTCTACCACGAATGATTGGATGTGATCTAAAATATCACAAAATCAACCTATTGACAGTCTTTAACGAAGTATCCAGAAGAGCAGATCATTAGACAGTGAAACAAAGATGCTGCACTGGGAAAGAACAAAATGATAAAAATTCTTTTGAGATAAGACTCTAAAGCTAAATGCTCGCTTTAGTTACATCAAACTGTCAGAATTGCAGTTAAGTCGGAAGCCAACCATTAACAATCGATCATTCGTGGAGGAAAAAAACCACCGTAAAAGTTAAAATTCTAAATCGAGCTACGACCCTAAATTATAAAATTCAACCCTAGATTAGTTCCAGAAAAAGAAAAAAAAAGTTACGACACTGACAAATGTTTATTACTAACAAAAATAGTTCTAAAAACAGATGAATACACCGTCAACGAGTTTAATTTTCGAACTAAACCCGAAAATCAAAACTTTGATCATACCGAAATTCACGAATAAAATATATATAGTAAGATTCAATTGAATGTAATATGTAAGACATCGGAACCATATAATATAAATATAGTAATGTTATTAAGATGCCTTAGGTATGGGGAAACAAATGAGGATAACATAAAGAAACTAAAAATGAAACTTGATAGAGATGTTATGGGGACTGACAAGCAATTTAAAAACATATGGGGACTGACAAGCAATTTTAAATTATATAATGGGGACTCTTAAATTTCATTGACGGATCCTTACCTAAGTTTGGAAGCGTTTATTCTTTAGTCCCTCGACTTTTAAAAAATAAATTTAAACCCAATTTGGTGACTACTATGTTTTTGTTTTCTATTCTTACAAAGAAATAATTAAATAAAATGGTCATCAAACGAGACTTCATGTGAGATCCCACATCGATTGGAAATAAGAACGAACCATTTCTTATAAGAGTATGAACCTTCTCCCTAATAGACTCGTTTTAAAATCGTGAGACTGATGGTGATACGTAATGGGTCAAAGACAATGTTTGTTAGCAGTGAGTTTAGGTTATTACAAATGGTATAGAAACATCTCTCTAGTAGATGCGTATTAAAATTGTGAAGCTAATGGCGATACGTAACGGGCCAAAACGACAATATCTACTAGTCGTGGGCTTGGAAGACTATCACACTTTGGTTTGTACAATTCTTCATCAACTATCTGCTTAGCTAATGCTCGTCACATCAAATATGTGACTTGGATTCATACCAGTGTTAGCTCGTTAGTATGTATTTTTGGAATCAATGTCATGTTATCCCGAATAAAATTATTCCGAGAACAAAGTAGTTACTTTTTAAAAGTTCAAATGCATATGAGTAAGATATTTTGAAAGTTTTGAAACCATACCGACACAAAAACTATGAATTAAAATTAACATTTTGAAGGAAACATCAAAATGGAATAAATCTAAAAACCTGAAAATCGAATAGATATTTTGACAACCGTCGATATTTTCACATGTTCATAGGTTTGAGTCGACATAAAAGATAAATGAACAATTTCATTATATCATAATATCTAGATGAAATATTAAAATAAAAAGAAACAAAATATACTTAACGTGAAAATAGTATAATTATAACAAACATTTTAACTTATTAAAAAATAGTAAAATGCTCGTTTACTTATTTAATTTAATGTTATTATAAACTTTTTAAAAAAATTAAAAAAAATGTTCACTAGAAACTATACTATTAATACTTTTGCTTCAAAAATGTTCTTAAACTTTCAAATGTTTCAAATCTTCACCCTCACGTATTATTGAACTAACGAGTAACAATATCAACAAGAATCAAAATGATTATCTTTGAAAAATATCAACGACTAATAGGCACTTGTTGAGCACGATGACAATACAGGATATGATTCTATAAAGATTTTAAGTCTAGCATGACAATACGTTTCTTAATAATATGGACACGAACACAACAAAAATACATTTATTAAAATATATATCATTTTTATGCAAGAAATTCGAAAAGTACCTAACAAATGATGGACCTACATTCACTTTCTACAACTAGTGTCTAATACATATCTATTTTGTTCATGTTTAATAAGTATCGAATCGTCCAATGTTCAATAGTACAAACACGCTAGCTAAACCATGAGGTGCTTTCTGGACGGGCTTTTTATTTAAAGCTCCTTTTTTCAATTAGCTCATTCTTTAGAACTCTTTCAGCTACTAGAATGGCTCTTACCGAGAACGTTCCAGTAACAATTTGAGGTTAAAGGACTCCTAATAGAGATTAGGTGTAATAGCCCAAGTCCACCACTAGAAGATATTATCCTATTTGGGCTTTTCGTCCCAAGTTTCTCTCGAAGGTTTTAAAATGCGGCCGTTGGGAAGATGTTTCCACATCCTTATAAAGAGTGCTTGTTGTTCTACTTTCCAACCGACGTGGGATTTCACATAAAGTTCATGCTATTTTTAAGAATTCCAAGTTGTCCCAAAGATTGCTTAAGATGACCGAAGGTAAGAAGTTTCAACTACTATATAGGCAACGTTTTTCAAAACTTCCAAAGACATGGAAGACTCAATCCGCAAGGAAAAATAAACTCTACGATGCATTTCTACATCTTATCTATTTATTAAGTGGGGAAACTAGTTTTAAAAACTTATAACATATACTTTGTAGATGTATATGTTGAAGATTATAGGGAGGGAGTCTCACATTGGCTAAGGGGATGAACGTAGGTTTATAAGTAAGGAATACCTCTCCATTGAAATGAGGTCTTTTGGAGAAACCAAAAGCGAAACCATGGGTGCTTATGCTCAAAGTAGACAATATCATACCATTGTGGAGAGTCGTGGTTCCTAACATGTTATTAGAGTCATGCCCTTAACTTAGTCATATCAATAGAATTCTCAAATGTCGAACAAAGAAGTTGTGAGCCTCGAAGGTATAGTCAAAAAGTGACTCAAGTGTCGAACAAATGGTGCATTTGTTCTAAGGATCTAGAGAAAGGAGTCGAATCTCAATTAAGAGGAGGCTGTTCGAGGGCTCCATAGGCCTCAGAGGAGGCTCCTATGGTTTACTTTGTTCGAGGGGTAGATTGTTGAGAATTGTTGGAAGAGGAGTCCCACATTGGCTAATTAAGGGGATGATCATTGGCTAATTAAGTCACCAGAACTTATACTCAAAGTAGACAATATCATACTATGGTGAGAGTCGTGGTTTCTAATAGACAAAACCGAAGGCATATGGTATGTAATTTGTAAATGTGGCCTACTCACCTTGGCGTGTCAGGCAAAAAGTTCTGCTTAAATTCGCCAACGCCTGGCGTAAATTCATGCCCACTTCCTACTAATGGTGCTGAATGAGTGGTTCCTTGAGGAAACTATTCACTTATGTCCTCCCTTCAATTAAAATCAGTGGTTAGATTCATCTATCGCCAAGAGATGTTACAATCAAACTAGCATAAACTGACCATGAAAAGTATACTCTTTTATGAATAGTTGTTATATGCATATATAAAAAAAACCTGAAATGATGATATTCATCAATTGCCATGTTCAGCAATATGTCTGACATGTAGAATATGCTTGGCAGATATCCTTCGTGCTTATTCCAGACTAAGAGTTACATTGTGACGGCCCAAGCTCACCCCTAACCGATATTGTCCTCTTTGGGTCTTCCCTTTCGGGCTTCTCCTCAAGATTTTTAAAACACGTTTGCTAAGGAGAGATTTCCACACTCTTATAAAGGGTGTTTCATTCTCCTCCCCAATCGATGTGGGATCTCACAATCCACCCCCTTCAGGGTCCAGCATCTTCAGTGGCACTCATTCCTTTCTCCAATCAATGTGGGACTCCTACCAAATTCACCCCTCTTCGGGGCCCAGCGTCCTTACTGGCACACTGCCTCATATCTACTCCCCTTCGGGGAACAGCCTCTTTGCTGGCACATCGCCCGGAACCTGACTTTGATATCGTTTGTAATGGCTCAGGCCCACCGCTAGCAGATATTGTCCTCTTTGAGCTTCCCCTTTCGGACTTCCCCTTAAAGTTCTTAAAACGCGTTTGCTAGGGAGAGGTTTCTACACCCTTATAAAGAGTGTTTCGTTCTCCTCCCCAATCGACATGGGATATCTCACCCACATAGTTGGCTACCTAATTAGGCAATAATCCATAGAAAAAAACCCTTTAAACAAAACGAATGCAGTCTTTCACAAAGACGAGTAGCAGAAAAATTGTCTATAGTAATAACTGCACAACAAACCATCTTATTTCAGCCTACAGTACAGGATATTGCCATTTCTCAAAAGCGCAGGGAATTCATTTCTAAAGAATAGCTAGAGAATTATTTGGAAAGACACAACACACAACACACCATGAGGAAGCTTCATAATTAATTGGATCAATTTTTTTCCTCACCACGATCTTGCTTGCCCCGGGAAAAATGTTGATTCCTTTCCATCCATAAACCCAAAAGGAAAGCTTTAACCCGGTGACCTATAATTGTCTTCCCCTATAACCTGTGACAACAAAGAAGATAATACAATTTAGTTTTAGCATTCAAATTAAAACCCCATGAGCAAGAGCAATCAAACACTGAAGCTTAGCCTCCCTATATGTTCTGTGGAAGACTTGAAGATTAATGAGAAAACTAATGATGAAGATCCTCTCCCGTCTTGATATGAAACGTACAGCAACGGGTTTCAACGTCCATATGAAACATCTACTCTGTACTATATCATAACCATTATCTAAATTCCAATATCTTTTCCCTCCTCCTCGGCGAAGTCGGCATGCCTTCTATCAACTCCAGTACTTCACAATATTCATTTACATTCACATATTTCATCTCTTTAGGAAGACAATATCCTGAATGAAGATAAACAGTCACAAGAACTTTAAAGTCAAAAACCATAGTTAAGTTGAATTAAAGGATAGTTGACGACAAAAAAAAGCATGTATGATCAATTGTATTCCAACAAATCACCCAAAATCATGAGATAAAAGTAATAACACATAATCACAGAAAATGGGGATATTAACATGAGCTGGAACGTAAGAGGAAGATTACCTGCACAACCATGTCATCTACTGAAAACAAAAGACCTTCGAGCACCAACAGAACGAGCGGCAGTCTGTGTTGAGAGAGCTCAACTGATCATCCTAACTATCAATGAGCGTTCACGAGTAAACATATCAAGTTTGTTTCTGTTAGCATTTTGAGTAAACATAGAGTTCAAATGCTTATTCACACAATTCCCTCAAATGCATTGATGAAGCATTAAATTGATGGCATGTGACTCGTTACTCATCTAGCAAATAGCTTACAAAAATTACGATGGGGACACGAATTCAAAATTACAACAAATCATTATCATTTAAAAAAAGAGTAAGAATTATTTCAAACTGTAGAAATGATTGGATTGGAAACTACGATCTCTTCTACCAACAATCTTCTACCCTACTTATTCCATGAAATACTAAGCCAAGAAATGCTTTGATGCTTGGCTGGATAAAATCTTCGGGGCCTTCCACTCTTCGTTGAACGAAATAGAATAATATTTCGCAGAAGGGGGCAATAGTGCTAAATTTTCTGTAGATCATGGCATCTTGTCGAACACTGTCGGATTAAATAAATGCTTTAGTACACTCTGTCGGAGCGAATCCTTTTCGATACATTACTTCCAGCAATCTCTTAGCTTCTGACGTCCTCCCATGTTTGAAAAGAGCATGAACCAATATATCATAAGTCCATCTATTCGGCACATATCCTTTCTCACACAATCGATTGAATAACTCAAATGCTTGTTGCAGGTCATTTGCACTTAGCCTCCTCAATAATAGGTTGTACGTGTAGATGTCAAGTGGGAAGCACTTGGCAATCGCTTCTTCCAAGTTCTTAATAGACTGGCTTACTCTAATATGGCCAGAAAATGCCCCAATTAGCAGGCCGAGCATAGAACTTCGGGAAGTCTCCACTTGCCCCTCTCTTGAACTAACCCAGGCTTCATAGAGTTTTTGAGTCTTCATTGAACTATATAGAAGTGTATTACCAAGAAAGGATGTAATTGGACGCCCAACTTTATCTAGATCGTTTATAAGATTTACCACCAAATCGTATCTTTCATTATGACATAAATGCTTGGCCAGCTCCTCGTAGCATTCAATACTAGGTATTAAACCCCTATCCCTCATGTCCCTCAAAACATCAAGTGCAACATCAGCTTTATTGGCTTTGCATAGACCGACAACCATGACGTTGGATATTTTCCTTCCAATAGTTCGTGTCTGATACAAATCGCTTAAAAAATTCAAAGCATCAGAAATGCGTTCACTATGTAAGTAGGACTTTAACAAAAGAATGTCGGAACTTAAATTGGGTTGGATTCCACTTCTCAACATCATCTGATATACTTCTCTAGCAAGCTCAGACTTTTTTGCAAGTGCAGCTCCATAAATGAAGTTATTGTACACCTCAGGACTGGGCTCTTGACGAGATAACTGTAACTCAAGCAGGTTAAAGAATTGTTTTTCCATATTCTCCATTTCATTAAGACAGTGAATAACTGTTCTAAATATTTTCCTAGTTGGATTGTGACCCTTTTCCTGCATCTCAATGAGTAGTCTTGCAGAGATATCGCCCCTCCTTAACTTGTTAAAACCATCTATCAAAACAAAATAAGTGCTCTTTATAGCTACTACATTTATTCTATTAAGCTCACCATGAATCAAATAGCCGTCTTCAACTCTCCTAGCCTTGCATAAAGCAGATATAAACTTATCATATGTGGAACCACTGGGCATAAAGTTCCTCTCTAAGGAAAAAATAACCAACTCCTTCATCTTATCAAGCTTTCCCTCTCGACATAAAGCATCTGCAAGTATAGAAAATGTCTTTTTTCCCGGAAAGTAACCTTGATCTATGGAGTGTTTCAAGATGTGGTATGCTTCATCAGTGCTTCCATCTCCACATAAAGTATTGACCAAATAGTTATATGCCATACTATTGGGGGAAAGCCTATATTCTGATCTTGAGTTGTATAAATCAAGTGCAACATCCACCATCCCAGCTTTGCAGAGGAAACACATGGCAGCATTCATAGTAACTTTATCCGGGGAAATATGTTCCTCCATCATTTCTGTAAGCAAGTCAAACACCTCCTGAAGCCGGTTATCTCTGAGAAGTCTATGAATCAACATATTATAACGAAAGACGTCAGGAATGTAACTTTCATCTGACTTTCTGCTATATAAGAACTGTAGAGCTCTTTCCAGCATCCCAGCCCTAATAAGTTCTGTTATCCACACACCATACACATGATCCATTGAAACTAATTCTAAGTCTCTAAACCCTTCGACCAACTTCCATGCCCGCTCAAAGTTTCCACTTTTGCAAAGTGCACTAACAAGAAAACCCAGCATACGCCCATTCAGTCCTTTTCCACTACCTACCAAGTCATGCAAGAAGGTTTCTGCCTCATCCAACTGACTCTGCTTGCAGAAATTTTTTAGCATTAAGTAATGTGTGATCTCATTCACAAATCCCCTCAGAGTAATCTGCTTGACAATAACATGCACTGCATCAAAGCAATTCTCCTCAACAAGAGAATTCAAAAGAACATGGTAGGCAAAAGAATCGAGATCAAGGCCTTGAAAGCGCATTTTACCAAACAGCTGAAGAGCAAAAATGGGTTTACCAGCAACAGCATAACCCATCACCAACGTATTGTAAAAACGAGCCTTATGGACAAATTTCTGCTGCACGTAGTTTTCAAGGAAATCAAACATGAGGGACATGAGCTTGGCCTTGGACAGAATCTTAAAGATGGCAACGAATGTGGCACGTGTATGGAAGAATCCAGGTTGGTGTCCTGCCCAGTCAAAGAACTTGAGGCATGATAGAACATCCTTGGAGCCATAACGCAGGACATCTAAGACAAATAACTCATTGAGACGAAGGCCAAGACTAGAAAGAGCTAGATCAGCAGTGGAATGACCATATGGCATTTCTTGGTCATCTCTAGCCATTTGGAGGATTTGGAAGATTTGATCATACAAAGCGTTGCTTCCAGATTTGAACCACTCCTTAAAGGACAAGGCTACTTCCTGAGTGACCATCCAATCTTCCCCTGCTGCTGCTGTCGAGCTTGTACCAACTCCCGTGGACATCCAAGGGGAAAACATAGGAACAATCCTGTTTCCATTATCACTAATTCCAGAAACAGACGAAAAGGAATATAAATTAGGACACGGTGAGGAAGATCCAAGAGCTTCATTGAAGATATCCTTAAATGAGGATACAAAAATCCCAGTTTTGGTTTTAGATTCGACTCTGGCAACACGCTGTAGCAAAATCATGGTTAATTACACGACTTAATCATATCTCTCCAGTGAAATTGAGAAGACCCTGCCCTGCAGACAAATAAGTATTTCATATTGTCTCCTTCATTAAGCCGGCTAGTTCTACAATAAAATCTGAGAAGTAACTCTTCTAAAATTCATATCCAACTCACTTCACATCAATTTCAACTTCATTGCAGAAAGAACTAAAGACCTGTTAAAGAATCAAACAGAAAACAATTGCCTCACT